TGGTGTGAGTGAACGATCAGTTCAGGTTTGGATTAAACGATTAAGAAATGACGGCGGGTTGGCAATACCAGTGCACCGCAGACGGCCTGGGAAGGCTTGAAAACTTCCCATCACACATTAAATGTTCTTAAGAGGCAACTCGATGCTAATCCACATGTGTCAGCACGGGAATTGAACGAAAAAACCTGTACCTCTAGGTGATGTTTCTGTTCACCGCCGCATCCGTGACAGCCTGCAGTTTTGCAGCCACGGCGCACACAAGAAGCCACTCCTCGCCCTTATCCAGAGGCAGTGTAGGGTCGCTTTTGCCAAGGCTAACGCTCAGTGGGAAATGACCAAAAGGTAGCACGTGCTATGGAGTGACGAAGCAATGTTTTCTTCTAATGGAAGTCGTACTTTTAATGTGCACAGGCACTCCGGGGGTGATTTGCTTGACCCCAAGTTCACCTTTAGCACAGTTAAGCATCCGGAGTCAGTAATGGCATGGGATTGCTTCTTGTACTTTGGAACTGGTGATCTTGTTGTGCTACCTAGGAAAGTGATAATGAACAAATTTAACTACTTGGAGCTGCTTTGTGAATATTTGCCTGGGTCTTTTGAAAAATGGCACGCTGATGTGTTTATGCAAGATGGTACCCCCATGTCACACAGCAAAATCTGTAATTCAGTGGCTTGTTTGTTGACTGTCAGGTAGACTTCATAAGTGATTGGCGCATAATGCAAAGGTGAGGAGTGTATGTACTTAAATTAATTACTATCTTACAAGAATTCCAGCAATATAAGTTATATTCTGCCAAGTCAAATCAGTGACATTTTATAAGCGAAAACCGAGTCCCTCTATTTGACTGTTAAATACACACTTGGTAACCTTCGTCACCCAGCTGTGTCAACACCACACCTCACCCCCCTACACAATCCTCCCAGTCTCTATCTCTCTCTCAACTGAGTAGCCCTTCAAGGAGCCACTCTGCTCACCCCACATGGGGATGGGGCTAGAAAAGGTGACCTAAACATAGCCTGTCCAAAGAACCAATCTAACTGGGCAACCGCACCCAGTAAGGTCATCCTTATGCGGTCGAAATCACAATCACAGATCAAAACAAAAACAAACTATACAACCTATTATGGTCACTGCATGGAATGTCAGGATCTTTCTGGATACTAGCACAAATGAGCATCCTGAAAGAAGTACCCCCCCTTGTGGCAAAAGAGCTGGCTAGGTATAACTGCAACATAGCAGCCATTAGTGAGTTCCGACTCCCAGACGAGGGTCAACTCACAAAACGGTGGTCTCGCTATACCTTTTTCTGGAAGGGTAAGCTTGCTGTGGAGAGACACCGCATTTATGGAGTTGGCTTTGCCATCCAACAACGCATCCTACAAAGGCTAACTGAAATGCCTATTGGGATCAACGAGTGCCTCATGATGCTCCAAGTCCCACTGAATGACTCGCGTCATGCCTTCTTCATCAGTGCATACGCCCCTACACTGGATGCAGAGGATGATATCAAGGAGGCCTTTTACACTGACCTTGACAGAGTGCTAACCTGTATCCCCACAGAGGATAAGGTTGTGCTCCTTGGTGACTTGAATGCCAGAGTTGGCAAAGATGCTGACATTTGGCAGGGAATGGTAGGGAGAAATGAACTTGGTTGGTGTAGTCCCAATGGCCACTCCTCGTCAGCAAGTGTGCTGCACACAACCTCACTATCACCAATACCTAGTTTAGGCAGGCCGACAAGTTCAAGGGTTCGTGGCAAAACCCACAATCCAAACACTGGCATCTCATTAACTACAACATTGTCAGAGAAAGAGATCGCAAAGATATCTTCATAACCTGAGCCATGAGTGGCTCAGACCACAGCAACACTGATCATCAGCTCGTCAGAGCCAAGCTCTCACTTCATGCCGCCCCAAAACGACGAAGGCAACAAGCCTCCAGAAGTTTTAACACAAAGCATCTGGAGGATCCAGCGGTAGCACATGCTTTCAGAGAGCAGCACGAACATGGTCTGATAAACAACCCGACAACAAACAACCAAAATCCCAGTGTCAAATGGGGGCAATCTCAACACTGCCATGACAAAAACCTGCAGAGACCTTCGGCCAGATCAAAGAATACAATCAAAGTACTCATCGATGATAAATATGCTGCTTTAATTAACTGGCAGAACAACCCTCAGTCTCGCACCAAAACTTATACCTTCCACAAGAAAAAAGCAGCAGCCCAGCGCAAACTTCGCAAACTAAAGAACGACTGGTTTAAAAATAAAGCATGTGAAATGCAAAAAGTTGCAGATCAACACGAGATGTGCCAATTTTTCAATTCCACTTAAAACATTTTATGGACCAATATCGAGTAGTGGTCCTTCCCACCCTGCTATATGGCAGAGAGACACGGTTCATACACAGGAGGCACATCAAGGCACTCGAAGACCTTCACCAACATAGTCATGTTCCATCCTCTGTGTTCGCTGGGAAGACGAGAACAAATGCCAGCATTCTTGCCGACACCAAATGTAGGAGCATCGAGACTACCATTATCCATGAACAACTACGCTGGACTTGCCATGTTACCTACATGGACGACAATAGACTGCCAAAGGAGCTACTTTACAGTCACCTAACAAATAGTAAATGTAACACCGGCAGGCAACTGAAGAGGTAAAAGGATAGTCTTAAGGCAAACCTGAAAAAGTGCCAAATTGACCCCCCTCTCATGGGAGACAATTACTCCACACCGTAACGCTTGGAGGAGCACCACACAAGAAAGTTTCAATACTTTCGCGTTAGCCCGACTGAAAACCAAGGCAGACAAGCGCCATTACCGGAAAGACGCTCCAGCACTATATGTAGTCCCCCAACATATGCAACTTCTGTGATTGACCCTGCTGGTCCTGTATCAGCCTCTTTAGTCACCTCTAAACTCACCAACCTAGGTGATATCCTTAATAACACATTCCATTATATTATAGCTAGAAGAAGAAGAAGAAGAAGAAGAAGAAGAAGAAGAAGAAGAAGAAGAAGAAGAAGAAGAAGAAGAAGAAGAAGAAGAAGAAGAAGAAGAAGAAGAAGAAGAAGAAGAAGAAGAAGAAGAAGTGGGTGGGTGTGTGTGTAAAACAAAACAAAAAGACACCAGAAATAGAAATAGCAAAATGTATAAATTAGAAAAGTTGAAAGGATTCCTACTGAATTTGCCCTCAAAAGTCCTATTTAAGGAGGATGAAGATTCAAGAGAGTACTATACAGTATGGTATATAGACACCTGGATCATTCAACTGAAGGAGAGATCTAACAGAAAACAAAAATTGAATGATGGTAGGTGGATGAACCGATTGGCTAAAATTTTTGCATGTTTATGACTCCATCTTCCCGATTCTATCAGCCAAGGGGAACAATGAATGAGTGACGTGACTGAAGGGAGAGACTGTACTGTACTGGTGTTCACTACCAATTCTGGCTGCCAAGCATTGTACTGTAGTATGAAAAGCCTACAAAGGGTGGAAAAAAGGTTTAAATATGCCTAGGGAGTTACATAGTTGTCATTTTACTGAGAGAATTGAGGGTAACTGAGAGTGTGATGCTGGAAGAATAATGTGACTCTTGAAAAGGAAGAAGATTTAAAGATGAAATGTTTGAACCAACAAACTGTATAAAAAGCATCTGCAAAATGAGAAGGAATCTATTTGTTGCACCACAGAATTGGAAACAAGCATATGAAAGTTGATATAAAAAGATGTGTGGGAAGTAACGAAAACTTAGGATGGATGAGATACTATTAAATACAGCCAACAGTTTTTAAGCAAGTATTAAAACTTGTCAGCCAAAACAAAGACGATTCCTAGTGAAAGCAATATTATACCATGGAGGTCGAATATTGCAATGGTTATCTACTTCCATGGATAGGGTAGCAAAATAAGTGAAAGAAAAAGTGATGGAAAGGTGAACAAATTTGATGTCAAGGCTAGAGTGAAAATGGGTGATAGGTCAGATGCTGTTTTTAGATGGTACTGTTCTGGTTAAGTGGAAGGAAAGTTGCAAAAGTTCAACAGTTTATGTAGTTGAAGAAAGTAAATTGAGAATGTGAAGTGATGACTATACGTAGTGAATCCCATAGGCGTGACTGCCCATTATAAACAGTGTGAATACAGCACATTGCCTTTGGTACACAAGAAGGCAGCATGGCTGGTACTACTCTAGCCACCTTCACTTTCCCAAGTTGTAAACTATGGTACCCAATTACAGCTGGGTGAACAGGGAGTTCTAAAGGATGACAAATGATAGTTTGAATGAAGATGGAGAAGATGAAGTGTTGTGCTTCAGGTGGCTGAGAGTAAATGCACCTGTGACTAGAACAATAGATGATGAAACACAAAGACTAAGGAAAAGAAAGAAGGTAAGAAAAAGATTGAAAAATGTAGGAGAGAGATACTGTACTGAATGTGTTAATGGAGGCAAAGGTGGGAAAATCAATATCACCGTACAAACATTAAATATGAACTCTGGATGCACCAGTAAGAAACAAGTTTAAAAGGACAACATACGTGCTTGAGAGGAGAGTCTGGTGAATAGTATGCAAAGTATTGCAAATATAGAAATGTTTGGTTTACCAAACAAACCTGATGAGAGCTTGGGATGGCGACATTATAAAAATTTAGAATTTCTTTAAAGGTGTTAATATAATAAAAGATGGTAAGACAGAGCACATGAGGAAGATTGGGCTGAGGAAAAATATGAATATCCTGGAAAGAGTACCAGGAGGGCAAGATGTGAGTATTGTATTTACTGGTTTACCCAGATAGATATGTTGCCAATGGGTGATGCTCTCAGTTGTGTTCAGTGACCTTTATAAAATAGACATATATTTGAATACATACTGAAGAACACCATAGTAAAACATACTGTATGTTACAGCACAATACATGTAAGAGAAAATAAAGGGAAAGGACATGTCAACTTATGATTAGAGCCAACTTGTATTATAGTGACAAGATACTAACCTATAGCCTTCGTTACTCCCACACAGGATCCGTGGAACCAGTCCTCACACTTGTCACAGCAAATCATAAAACGGTTATTGTGAGGTTTCTGGCATATACACCATAGGCGCTCAGGATCATCATCTTCACCATAATCCTCAAGCGATTCATCATCCTAGGATAATGAGATGTCTTAGTTATACTGTATACATTATCATCACATCAACAATAAATGGAAACTAGAGAAAATGTATGATAGATTTAGGGACCTCAAAAAGCCACTGATAAGTGATTGATCATGTATCGATATTAATAACTTATGGGGAGAAAACGGTTCCGTTCCCGAAACCCTGAAGAACCCCAAAAAGTTGTATATCCTGCTGCTATAATGATTAAAACAGTAATGTCTAAATAACTCAAATAATTTATAAATGGAAATAATCAATAAATTTATACAAACACAAAACCCCCCAAAAATATATATTTATTTTCATTTACCTGGCATGATATGTACATGTACAGTAGTAAGTTGCAATCCCCAAGCTGAAAATTTCCTAATTTATTCACTTTGTTACATGCACACAATTTTTAATATAAAGTGTGGAAAAAATTAATAAAAATAATAAAATAAATGATTAACACAAGGAGAAAAACAAAGTGAATTAAAATTTCTTACATCCCCAGAGTTAGCGTGGATCGTGGGAGCAGGTGGTGGGTTCAGCGTCAAGGTTTCAGTCAAGCTGTAAGCTGTGTTATTGTTATTTTTCAACTTCCATTTTCAGGTAAACACAGTTTTGTTTTGTTTTACTCGGTTACATGCACACATAATCATTCATACAGAATGTGCAAAAAAATATCGTAAGTACAAAAACATACATTCGAGTAAACATTTATTACGTGTGTGGGAGCTAGCACGAGAGTGAGCGTTCTGTCATGGCTCTGGTGTCTTGTGCTAGTGACAACAGTGCCAAATGGCAACGCAAGATTTTTCCTTGTAGTATTTTATTTATTATCTTATTATTATTTTTTCTCACATTTACTGGTACAGTATATATTATTTTATGCACAAAGAATAGCTTCTGACACACTCACATCATCCTTTGAGCGATGTGACAGTTCAACTGCTTACCCTGGCAGTCACCAAGGATTATTTCTTGGAATACTGCAAGTAATTGCACATCACTTTTTCATAGCAATGACAATGCAGGAAAAGCATATGTGCAGTGAGCATCATAAAACTGATCTTTAGCCATTGCATAGTGGTATAGTAAATGATGTTAATTTTTTAACATCATAAAACTGATTGAGGGTACATTGATCCATTGTATAATGGTCACTACCTGTAGTACAGATAAAGCTACTTTTAGAGGTGAATCTAATGATCTGAACAAAGGCTTGACAGCCAGTTACAGAGGGTTTATGGTACATTTTAGGCCTGGTGGTGTTTCAAATTCTGTTAAAACTCCCTATGCAGTAACCCCTACCTCCCCAGCAGGCTGGATATATGGTTATACAGTAATATCTCCGTTAGCTGGAATCCCTCAAACTCGGAAATCTCCGATAGCCGGAATTGAAATTTGCTTGGAAAATCATTCCCAAAGGAGGGTTCCCAACACTCAGCGCTTGAGGGACGGGAACATCCCATTGGAGGGAGAGGGAACGTGTTTCGACCCGTCATACCCACTTTCCGGAAGCATTGACACTCAGGAACCCATAGCCACTGAACACCGGCCGATGCAGCACCATACTTCACAGATAGCTCGGTGGACCCAAAATATCATAGATCCGGAGTGGCCTTTTACGCCCATGGTCAGACCCACAGCTGGAAACTTCTAATGACTGCTCCACGCTACAAATAGAGTTAGTAGCAATTCCTCAGACAATAAGAAGCTTGCTGAACAGCGATTGGCAGGTCCGAAAATGCCTCCTAAAGAACCCAAGGCTCTCTCAGAGGTATCAAGAAGAGATGAGACGTCTAGTCGACGAGGGACATGCCACATCAAGAACTCAGTGTTACACCCGGGAAGACCTGGTATCTCACACCACCCCGTGTTGAATCCCAACAAGCCAGAAAAGATGAAAATAATTTTGATTGTACAGTAGGGGGCAGTGAAATTTTGCTCAAAGCTGCACTCTTCAGGCATTGTTCCTTATACATATCTAAGACTCCATGCCAAATTTGAAGCTGATATGTCGAGGTTTAGTCTGCCGCATTTTCTACTGAAATTTTTAAATTTACCTACAGTACTAGCCAAACAGAAGCTGTGGCGGTGCAATGTTCTGTTCAGTGTTTATCAACTTTTTTTTCATATCTCTTATTTCATTTAAGTTGTCTTGTTGCAGATGAGTATGGTGCTATGTCTATATTGATTATCAGCCTTTTCTCATTTCATTATGTCATCATGGTTGAGCCTGGCAATGAATATCTCACACATGTGACTCCCAAGACTGGACACGGAAAGCAGATTGCCAAAACTATTCACGAGTTTCTGGTGGAGAAAAATCTAACCCAGCAGCCCATTGTGTGTGTTGGTTGTGATGGAACCAATGTAAATGTAGGATCAGAAAATGGAGTCATTCATCATCTTGAAATGTTACTTGGTCACCCGCTCCATTATTTCATATGTCAGCTTCACGGAAATGAGCTGCCTTTCCGCGCAGTTTTTTATCACTATGATGGTAAACCAAGTGGTCCTGAGCATTGGCGTGGTCCCATTGGAAAGCAGATCAAGGAGTCTTTGTCTGAGCTTCCAGTTGTCGCCTTCCAGCCAGTCAGTTTCCCTGATTTCCCTGTGTTTAATGATGAAGTGGAGAAAGATCTGTCCTGGGATCAGAAATACCTGTATAGGATTTGTAAATGAGTTATCACAGGTGTTGTTGAAGATGACTTGGCTGCTATTGAGCCAGGTCCTCCCTGTGTGTCAAGGTGGAACACCTTATGGAGTAGAATCCTCAGGCTGTATGTAGCAACATCAAGACCCAGCCATGAGTTGAAAAGAATTGTCATTACAATAATAAAGTTCAGTGCTCCAATGTGGTTTTACATCAAGATACACCCTTACGTAACACACGGCTCAAGGAACGTATTCCAGTCCCTGCTATATATGAAACACCTGAATAGTGAGGAGGAGACGATAGTGAAGAAGGCTGTCCAGAGAAATGCATACTTCGCCCACACAGATCAACTTCTTCTTGGTATGTGTGCAGATGAGGACATGACTGTTAGAGAAAAAGCTGTCTCAATGATAAGAAAAATTAGAGAGGAGAATCAGCAAAAGGAAGAATGCACTGGCAGATCTGAAGAGGAGGAGGAAGATTCTGATGCTGCTGTTGACGAGAATTTGTTAAACTATACTGATGAGGAGGGTAAAGATGGAGATGGGAATGAGGATGTGCCTCCTGTAGTCAACATGAGAAAGGTGGTGACTCCGAAACTAAAGTGGCAAGCAAAAAACTATCATTCCATGATTAACTGGAGGAATGAACTCAAGACTGAGCCTCCTTACATTGCTTCTCTGTCAAATCTACAGGTTAATGACATTCTTGAGACACCATTAGTGGTGCCCAAGTGGCCAAACAGCACTCAGGCGGTCGAGAGAGGCATAAAAGTGATGACTGAAGCTTGCACTGAAGTGACGGGATACGAATCGAGAGATGGATATATTAGGCAAAGATTATTGTCTAGGAAAATGATGCCAAGGTTCCGCACAAAAAAGAATTTCAATATGAACTTGTAATGATTTTCTATAAGGTGTACCTGTAAAATAACATGTGAATTAAATCGATGTCACCCATGTAAAATTTATCATTATCCTGGAAAACATTAAATGACACCTAATTTTTGGTATACACTAAAAGTTGACAAAAAGTCGTTCGCGATGCGGCAGGGTAAGTATGCATGAAATGGCATGAAATTTTGCACAGGTGTTTGTTACAGCCATACAAACGATGCCTGAAAAGTGCAGCCTGCAACTCAAATAAAAGTGTTTTTTCCCTGCCCCCTATTGTACAGCCAAATGTCAGTTGATGTCATTGAACAGCCAGGTGAAGCAAGGGCCAGACTTAACAACAAATTTGATGGGAGTCCTCATCAGATTCAGACAAGGAAAGGTGGCATTCCTGGCTGATATTGAGGTAATGTTCTATTAAGTGTGAGTAGTACCGAACATCGAGACGCCTTACGATTCTTATGGTGGACGGACGACCAGCCGCCAGGGGCCCCGCCACTTACTAAACGACAGTACATCTCTTTGAAGGTATGTGTAGCCCTTCATGCACCGGATATGCGCTACAACGAACATTCCAAGATTGCAGGGAAAGCCTCCATGACGACATCAAGAAAGCGAATTATATGGTACGCGTCAACGTTGAGGGTTTATTTCTCCAGCAACAAACCAATAACACTCCTATGAGCGTTAACAGGGGTGGGTGTGTGTGCGTGCATTTTGAGCTCGCCAAGCACATTGTAGGAATTGAAGAAGTTGATGAAGAGTTTGTTCAGGAATCAGGTGGCGAGGTGACATGCCAAGACAATTACACAGCACACACATTAACAGCTCTACTAAACCAGAGTCTTATAACATTTTACATTATAATTTCTATTTTACAATTAATTGATACATGATAGCTCGACAGGGCTCTTTTGCACTTAAGACAACTGATCAATGAATAAACCAGGGCATATGGACTCATTATACATTAGTGATGTCACAAAGCTTTGAAACTGCAACCACATAAATTATCACAACCTATACAGTTGGGTCTTCAATTACGCGGTCAATTGAACCCGCGGAGTACCGCGTAAAATGAGAAACATTTAAAATGAAATGACAGAGCATATGGGATTAATTGAAATAGAGACTGGGCCGACCCCCAAACTCCACTTTTTCCGACACAATATGCACCTTGTAGTCAAAATAACATCTTAATTTTATGATGGTATGCACACACAATTAATAATTAAGAAAAATATCAATAATATTAGGTTTCTTAACACTTATGTTAGTAGAAAAGATGGCTGGGCACACGGGGATGGGAGGTTGGTTCCGAGGCAGAAGGCAGATTATTGGCCCTCACCTGTATCACTTGTATCAATTGTATCACTATCCACCACATAGGCTTGCAGGGCCTCTTTGTCAAACCCCTCAAAGTCCATATCCTCACTATCACTGACTT